TGGTCAAGAAGCTTGGAGCGCTTCGCTCTGTGATTGGTCTAGAAGCTTGAAGCGCTGGAAAATGGGAAGGCTCAAATTGGAATTGGTTTCAATTTTGCATCTGATTGATTGGGATGGTGATACAAGTATTGTTGCCTATTTTTGATGATTTTAACCTTTTCTGTGTAGGGTAGTTGGGATTACTTTGGTTTTGGTTTTTTAACACTCAATTGAAAACTGCTAAATTTGAGTACATCGTGATCGAGTACGCGGTATACTTAGCACATACTAATAGGTGAATCTGGAAACTCTTGTAATCTCCTTCGCTGCCGTTTTTTTACGATGTCGCGCAACGATCCCTACCAAAGAAGGCCTCGTGAAGCGTTTTATGACAAAAAATTGTAAAAAACGCCAACGAAAAATTTATATTTGCAGACTTTCTATGATTATGACTGATGATATTAAAATTTGAAAAAATAACAGGATAGAGAAGGTTCAGCTATTTTAACTCTTCAATCAGCAATCTGGAGACTAGTCGAGTTACTTGGAGGCGAAGTTTTGCTCTGGCTGCATAACTTGTCGTGGTGGACATTGAACAACAATTTAAATAATAAGAAGAGAGAGTTACGCCTTACTCTTTTCACAATGGTTTCCTTTGTACGATCTCGTACAGCGACAAATATAGCCATTTGTTTGATACAGTGGTACACAAGTTCCGTTGTTCTGACATGGCCAACTTGAGCAGGGAGACTAAGAACAAGAAAATCGTTCATTTTATTAGGGCTACTTAAAACGGTAAAACCGCGACGATTACGTCCAACACAAGCTGTGGTTCATATCAAAGAGTGGAGCTAAAATACGAAGGGATGATAGTGATCTATCATTTAAGACAAACGCCCCTGTCTCAACACGAGGCTTCGTATCTCAGTCGGAAGTATCTCGTTTATGCGACTAAAACTGCTGATGCTTACCAGACTTTACTTTTTTTAAATTCAAGGAAAGATATTAATTTATTTTCGATGCTCAGACAAATCACTGCTTTTACTAGAGATAAGGAACATAAACTTATACAATACGTGCATTATGCACGAAAGATGTTTATGAGTAACAGCCATAAAGTTTCCGTACATAAATTCTCGGTTTCCCGATCGGAGCAAATCGCCAGGTTGAGAGGACCGACCATATTGAGTGATGGTAGAAACCAGAATAAATGCGAAAATGAAAACAAAGCTGAGGAACGCTATATCCGGGAAGATTGATGTTTTGGCTTGAAAAGCTTAGAAATCTACTAAAACTTCCCTTGCAGCCTTTAAACAGCTGCCTTTATTAATAAATCAAACGGTATTTGTAAGATTACTTTAAATGGACTCTGTTAACAATAATCAGTATTTGCCGGTTTCTGTGACAACTACAAAACTTTATAAATTTTGAATAAATGAAAAATAAGCTGCATCTTTATCAAAGCAAACCAGAGGATGTACCGCATAATTTCTGGTTTTATGACATGATCAAAGATTTTTGTAAGACTCTAATGCCATTCTTAATCATTATGATTCTGCTAAATTACTGTTTGACATGAAGATCCTTCTTCGACTTTTAGTAAGATAAGATTCTTAAGGTTACTTCCCATCTTCGCGGGTGTCCTTTGGTGAATCAACTCTTACGCGCGCTAGTTTTACTTAAACTCTAGCAAACTGTATATTAGGAGAGAGCTTAATAACTGCAGTTTACGATAAAAATATAATTGAGAAGCAAGACAACGAATCGACAGATATCTTTCAAAACTCCGGTTTGAGGCGATTGTTAATGATTTTGTATCATGGTTGGTACTTGCATAAATAAAAGGAAACCTCGATTTTAACTTTGAAAAAAAGTGTATTTTTTTTCTTTTTTCAAACGGATGCCGCGAAAATTCCCCCTGGGAACTCGTCCACGTAAGAGATTATGACACCTTCCTGATTTAATATATAGATTTAGCCCAGTCTAAAAGCGGAGCTCTTGTCAGTATATTTTTCAGCCCTTTATTATACTGAATCAAAACTGTAATAAAACTCTTCAGCACTGGTTGTAGAAGAGTTTCTTCAATGGAGTGAAAGACCAGTTCGGGGGGTAGGCAGGTGGGAAGAATTGACGAAGTCTGGAACCTGGGGACGATGTTCTCACAACTACACGCATGCTAGTCAGCGGTATCTTCAGACAGCTTACGACCTTCGTCGTTGTTCTTGATGGCCTGACCAAATTTTTTGAAGATAGGGAATGTTTTCTTCTTCAGTTGAGGTGCATGATGTCAGCATTAGTTGAAATTGTATCCAGTTGAGTGTGACTTATAATTTCGATTTGGAAAATGAACCAAAATTGAAAGAAACGAGAGTAAACCACTTCGTGTTAAGACATTACTGATGGATTGAGGTGTAAACACGTGCAGTGAGCGCACTGAGTCAGTAAAACGATACGCCAGAATCGTATGGGCTTCTCTTATATCTTCTCTTGAAGTTGCTAGGTAAGACTGCTTACCCCCCCCCCCCCCCCCCCCCCGTTTTTCCTTACGTTTCAACCTCCTCTGTTTAGCGTAGAAAATTTAGAAAAGTAAATTTCAACTCGGGTTAGAGCCTGTGTAATTTTTTAAAACTTTTTCGCTTTTTGCTACTCTTGTTTCATGTTTCATGATTTTCCTCCGGCTGGAAATACACGACGTCTTTTTGAGATTTTTTCTGTTATTTAATTCGATAACCTCTGCTGTAACTGTATGTAATGTGGGTGTCTCTGAGAAAACCTGAGCTAATACCTGGATTTCATTTTTACATCACAGAAATCAATTCCAAACGTCAATCAAGTTTTCTCTTCAGTTTAAAAGTTGAGTTGATGTTGTTATTGGCTATATTAAATAGGTTCAAAAGTTTTAGATGGTATTTTCTCATGTTTGCAAATAATTGAATATACTGGGAGGTGGAGTTGTTGCAACATGTTGAAATGAAATGCAGCAAAACATTTTATTGAAACAGATTTGTAAAAAGTTTTCATCTAACTAACTACTGGCAAGTCTTTGTATTATATTTCAACCCAATCATTTTCCACAACATATAAACCCTGTTAAAAAATAATTAGTCAGGGAAATGGAAAACTTGTGGCATATACACCATGTTTGAAATGCTATGCCCATAGTAAGCTAACAGGATTGAGGAGGATGTAGGTGAGAATAGGCTTTCTGGACTGTGTCAATAATTTGCTAATCACTCCTGTTGGCAATGTTTTGATGAGGTTGGGCTGTCAGGGAAAAGGAACTGAGGATTTTAGTAGGCAGTGGCTTTTTCTCAAACCTAGAAACTATCATCGTGAAAGCCATACCTGTGCTTGGTAACTCATTCTTATTCTGATAAACTAGTTTTAAGAAGAATACAATATTCTATAACAAAAATTTGATGCATAGGTTGTACAAAAAACTTTAATTTGACTATACTTTTATAGCCAATACCAGTCCCTTCACATAGTAAAATGTTAGGAGGATCAGAGGAAAAATAATGTGCCATACATTTGCAAGATTTTATGTAATTGTTTTAATTACATGAATGTTAACTGATACTAGGAGATCTAATAATATTTAAAAAATAAGAAAATTTGGTTGAAAAATTAGAATTCAGCAAAAGGCTAGATAAACAAAATTATTAGAAAAAGAAATGAGCACTAATGAAAAAGCTAAGCAAACTTTTTTTTACAACTCCTGCTGCCTGTACCTATACGGCATGTAGTAAAGTCTTTTGAAGTAGTCATAATCCCCATTTCGTATGTTGAAAACACATGCACATGCAGATTTCCTGTAAACCTGTAGTTTAAGCCTGTGCTGACCTTGAAATTTTGATGCACACCTCAAAAGGAGAAGAAATAAATTTAATGTTTCTATTTATTTATTTGAGGTTAGTGAGGTAAAATTGAGTCAAACATTCAAGACGTACAACGACAGTTTCAAGGAATTTTCACAACTAATTTTTAAGGTTAGCCTACCTGGAACAATCACCCTCTTGTTTGTATTGGTGATGCCCAACAGAACTATCTGTTGTAAGAGGGCAGGCTTTCCTTTCTTCATTTAAAGAAATAATGAGGTTATCATCTTTCCATAAGCTCAGTGGAAAGTGAGAGTGAATGAGACTGATAGTGACTATGTTATTTGAATAAATAGACAGAGCCAGGATAAAAAGCTAAGCTAAGCTAAGCTAAAGCCAATTACTGGTAATTTAACTTCCATGCATGAAAATACAAAAAAATGTTCTCTTCATCTATGTGCCCTAAACATTACAGAAGATGAGGCATGTCAGATTAAAAACGTGAATTAAAATAGGAGGGATTTGCTAAAGCAAAGGCATAGAAAAAAAATTTGCGATCCCACAAAGAGTGTCTCCAGTTGAGATCAAGGCAAGCTTCGAGAAAGCATACTGGAACCTTGAACGGCATCTACCAAACGAGAATTCACGCGAACTAGCAGCCGCAACCTTACGATCTGTTGCGCTAGAGTATATTAATAAGAGTAGCCCAAAACCTCCTAAAGCCCTCTTGCAAGCTATTGAAGATCTGAAAAAACGCGATGACATCGTTGTCACAAAACCGGATAAAGGGTCTGGTGTTGTTGTTATGGATAAATCAGAATATCTTCGCCTACTATCCGAAGCGTCAATAAACGATACCAGCAAATTCCGATTCGTCGACTCGGAGAGACCGAGAACCAGAGGACGACCTCCTAAGTATTACCACCCTCTCCTTCAGAAAGAAAGGGAGTTGGAAACTCTCGTTCGAAAGATTCTACCGAAATCCATTGCTGACGCTCTCCGCCCGAAAGGGTCCAGACTCGCACACTTGTATGGCTTGCCGAAGACACATAAAGAACAGTTGGCCGTGCGGCCAATACTCTCTGCTACTAACACCTACAATTACTCGCTAGCGAAATGGCTTGACGACAAATTTAGGCCTCACGGAACAGCGTATGCACGTGAGTTAAGGAAAATTTCAGACATGCGCAGAATAGGCTCTCTCCTGTGTTTACTTGTCTCCTAAACGCTCTTAAAACTTTACCGTTGAATATCTTGTCAAAACACGAAGTCTTTGGTAGTTTAACACATAAACCGGGAAGACTGCGACGAAGTTGAAGATTCTACCGTTTTATTTTTTTCCTTTTCATCGACTAAGTGGTAGAAATTCTAATTTTTCGTATTGTTTTGTCGTTCATCGCGCGTGGTGGTTATCATTTGGAATTTCGAAACGGACAAGTTTAGGAGTGGGCATCGTGTTTTCAAGGCAAACTAAGTTCTGGAGTCCATCGTTGTTCGTTTGAAAGTTATTCACATTTTTGGACGCGCGCTCAAGATACCATGGAGGAGTGAAATATATCGACTGATGTAATGTACTCAGAGCAGCTCGAAAGAACAGCAAGCACACAATGCACGAGGTAAGAATATAAATTAAGTTATCTTGACCCCTATCTTGGGGTGTGTTGGTGATAAAGGGTCATTTAGCCTACTTTCAATATCGCCCACTCGAGATCGAGAGTGAACTCCGGTTTAATCGTCAACAGGAACCAAGAACAATTTATCAATCACTTCTCGGGTACTCGTTGGTACTTACTACGGATTACGGAGATGATGTTTGACTGGTATCGATTGTCAAATTAATGCTCATTTCTTTTGGGCACTTTGAATGTAGAGGATTGACCAATACACTGATTGTTTTTCGACCACACTGCATATTTAATAATTAGTATAGGTCCAGGTAAAGTTTGGTTGTTGAACTGGCATTACTTATCTTTTACACAGAATAAGGAAAGACAGGATAATAAACTTGGCACATTTTTAACAGATCCAGTGTTCCACTCTAATTTATTACTGTTAATCGTTGTACACCAACTATGAGTAACATAACATTGGCTGCATCACTTTGATTTGCCCTTCCTGTGCAAAATGTTATGCTTATGGTACAAGAACACTATACATAAGTCATGTTCTTATCACATTAAAAGTTACATACTGCTAGTGATATGTTAAGTTATACATGTGTGCAACAGTATAAAGATATAATCTACATGTAGTTAAATATCACATTTATTATGTTCTTAAACTGCTGAAATTTAGTGACAGCAATTCAGTGTTTGTTCAATATTCTACAAAGCTACAGTCATACATAACAATTTAAAATCAGATACATTACAGCTTCATATACCTACTGTTCATTTTGAATGTAATATTCAATTCATTTAATTCAAGATCCAATACAACATGATTGTACATGCATGTCTCATCTTCGGCACCATGCACTTCACTTTTACCCTGTAAAACCAGTTGCAATATTGTAAACCAAAAAGCTAACATGTTACTTGTACATATACTAAGATATTAAGCTATGTTCTCTTTACTAACATGGCATATACAACGTGCTTTTACCAGGTTAATTCTAACATGTTGTGTTGAAACATTAATCAATTATTAAATGCATCTCTGTGTGTAAAAATGCATACATGCTGAGATATATTTATGCAGTGTGGTCAGTGAAATAAATTCTTATATGTACAAATCTAAAACATTTAAAAATTACTGAGCCACCCCTCATGACTACTCTATTCTTCATGTGCAGGCAACGGCGTAACATGTTCAGACATGTGGGATGTGGAAAGATGAGTAGTTGGAGGCTGGAAGACATTTGGAAGATTTTGTAGACACAACTGGCATTCTCTTGGTAGATCATAAATTGGTAGCTCCTCCCCATAGTTCCACACCTTTAGTGCCGCTAGCGGCATGAGTCTTGGAACTTGTCCATCAGGTGTACAGGTAACTCCCTCAATTACTGTTGGGTTGAATGACCTCTGTCCCTCCAGTGCAGATGTTCCCTTGGCAGAAGCCTTCCATTGAAGTTTAAGTTTGCGACCATCTGCTTTTAGTGACTGAATTGTTTCTGGTAAGTTATTGTTTACTTTCTTCTCTACCCAAGCTCTAGGGTAAACATCCTTTGCAGTAAGTGGCCCATGTGTGCAGTTTTCTCTAATCTTGTTTAGGTTCTTTCTTGCCTCTTGCAAAACGTCTGTGGTGAGCATTTGGGTATAATCTTTCATTCTTTCTTCATGAACTTCACGTGCTGCTTCTGTGGTCCTGGTGTTGGTTTTTCCACTATGCAGAATATTTTCAACAAATGTGATTGAGGCCTGTTTTGATAACTCTGACATGTTATCATTAAGATACAGTTGAGAAAGATTGAACTGTCTTTCAGCAAGAACATTGTTAACTGGAAGACTGAAAATGTGCTTGGCATAGAACTCAAACAGGTTTGGAGTGGCTTCTTTACTTATGAGTGAGCTGTGTGGTGATGAAGCAATTTCTTTGATCTCACTGAGCAATTGTGGTTCCATCAATTTCCAAAGAGTGGCCCATTTAATCAATCCAACTCTATCCTTAGACACCAATGTTAGAATGTTCTGTCCATGTGCATGAAAGAGATAGTTCACTGACTTTTCTTGTTGATTCTCAGATCTGACTGGAATTTCAAGAAGCTTTAAAACTGAATGCCAGAAAGGACTTTGGTATCTCTGATCAGCTCCCATTCCAAACAACTTGGGAAAAGTTAACCACTCTGCTGCATGATCTTTGATTACTTTAATTGCTTCTTGTAACATTGGCCTCTGCTCTTGTTTGTGAAAGTGGTTGATAGCTGCTGGGTCCTTCAATGACATCTTCACCTGTTGTGATGTTAAAGGAAAATATTCTGCAGGAGACATCACATTTTACTTAAAGTTTCATGGTGCTTCAGAACAGTTGCTGGCCATAACCTTGCTAGGTAACCACTGGAGAATCCAAGTTCTGCATCACTAGCTTGGGATGTATTCAGAGATGGGATGATAAACTTATCGAGGAATTCAAACAAAAACTTGATTTCAACTTGAATCATAGGACTGGAGCTCAGCTTAATGACATCTTGCCAAATAGTCTGGTGGCTATCTGATTTTGGCAATCTTTCAAGGAGACACTCGGCGAGCTGTAAACAAGCTTTTCCATACTTAAGATACCACTGGAGAGTTTCATGATAATATGTCCACCTTGTGTCTATGAATGTCTGGGGAAGGGGTGGCTCTTTACTTAGAATACCAAGAGAAACATACATAACTTTGTATTGGCTTGGACGCTCATGATGGAGCCAAGATATTTTATAGAGTAATTGTAAAACATGGGGGTTGCTCATGTCACCCTTGGCCCCAAACCCAGCCTGGCACATTCTTCTCAGCATAATGTTTGGTTCATGTGGGTAGCATCCTACAAAAAACATCTCTTTTCCAAAAATTCTGGCATTGTTAGCTAAAAGACCATTTACTTTTCCCTTTTGGGTAGAGGCATTGTCCCCAACCAACCCTGAAACATTGGTAATATCATATTCATTTTTTACAACATGGTAATCTACATCAGACTGGTGTTTTCCAGACCCGCTTGCTGTTAGGCTGTTTGCAAGGACATAAGCTTGTGGCTTGCCCTCTAAGGGACACCAGGTGTGAACACCCACTACGTGCCTCTCCTCTCCTCCTTTGTGGGAGTCATCGCTCCAGAGATGAAAATCATACTTGGAATTTGAAAAGCGCTTGCGTAAAATTAGTTTGTCAGCTTCACCTAAGAGAACATTCCAGTCAGAAAGTGTAGTTGGGGAGACAATGAAGTTTGTTGGGGGGCTACAATTGAACAAAATATTGAAAATCAGATGTAATGCTACAGGTGTCTTTTGATATGATAACAAGGATGCATGTTGCATGTATCTGACACAAGCCATAAACATCAAGGTCCTTTGGTTGTGTCCATTGTGACCATGAGCAAATGTCGCCACAAGGGAATGCCCCTTTTTGGCAATTTCACTGTTGCCCTGTAATTTCTGTTTTAGCTTTGAGGAAGCAGATCTTGTCCCCCTTAGCTTGTGTCTGACTTGTTTTTCCTTTTTTTCAGTAGACGTCAGATTTTTTTGACACTTTTTAAGTTGAGTTTGAAGCCTCAACACGTCCTTTTTCAATTGAATGTTCCTTCCTTTTACAAATACTGAAATTATGAAAAGGTGACACAATAAAAATTAGTTAAATGTAACTGATTTCACATGATAGAGTATTGAAACAGAATACAAAGTTAAAATATCCCACCAGAAATCTTATCGAACAGTTATATTTAGAATGTGTTGTTTAAATTTGGCAAAAACATTGTTATCACAATTGCAAGGTTGAATAATTGAAACTATTGTGTTTCCAGGGTGGTCCGTACGCAGATAATTTTGTTCACGTTGATAAAAACTTCTAACACAAGCCTCAAAACTTCACTCGTAAAACTCTCGATACTGTGTGACACTCAAAGATACGCGTCCTCATGATCTGCTGACCGAAAAAATTAACTTGCCTGTACATATATTTTCTTAGGTACGAACCTTTAGAGGGAATCTAGTCCGCAGTTTAATTTTTTCGCTTTTGAGTGCGCTTACTACCTCCCTTTTGTTAATCGCCGCTCCAAATAGTTAAGTAAGAAAAAGCCTGAAAATACTGACCATGTAGCCATATCGACTACTTTGTCTTTATTTTCGAGAAGTTTTTTTTTTCGGCTTCTGTTCGGTGGGAGTATTATCGGTTTATGATTAAAATCCTCTTAAAGTAGTGTTATTAGCGATTGCGTAAGTTGCAACCGCCGAAAATTAAGAATGGGAATGAAAATCATTCATCGTAGTTCGTGGCTCAGGCAATCTGCAGCATTATTCTTAGACATTTGCAAGTCCTTGCATTTCCATTCCCTGAAATAATATCACTTACCTATACTGCGTCGTAAGGTTTTGACTGTTCCTTTTAGATTTGCGTTTTCAGACCTCAAACTCTTGCATTCTCTCTTGAGTCGATCGATTTTTTCTTCAGCTAAAAAGTTGCAAACTTGCACCGCAACGCTTTTTTTTTCAACTTTTTCAAAATAATCTTCATGTTTTCTCTGCTTCTTTTTGGCTGGTGGCTGATTTTTACTAGAAAACTGGCTGCCGTGAGGTCTTTTACGAGCCATCAGGAGTTCTCGTCAGCGAGTCGGCCGGCAATTAATTAACACAAATCTGCAACTTTGATGTAAACAACCCTCAGCACGAGCCCGCGTTCCTTTTATCAGGCAGTGTTACAAAGTAATGTAATCTACGCATGTCTGAGATTTCAGGGGGTTACGGTTTCCATGGGTGGGGTATCTTTCCGTGAGGCCTAAAATTGAAACCCCTGTCGTGCAACCAATATACAGTGACAGACACATTCCGCTTTGCTGATGAAGTACGAGGCTTCGAGATCAAGAACGGCGAAATTTTAGTTTCCTATGACGTCACCTCATTGTTTACAAATGTACCATTGGAGGAAACAATACAGATCTTAGCTGAAAAAGCCTTTGCCCAGGATTGGTTCAACGAGACGCACAGCTTGAACATCTCTAAAGCGGACCTAATCGACCTCCTCCGAGCAGCTACGAAAAACCAGCTTTTCCAGTTTGACGGTGCTTTATATGAGCAGACAGATGGAGTCGCTATGGGTTCTCCCCTTGGACCGTTGCTGGCTAACGTCTTCATGTGCTCGATTGAGGAAAACCTCGAACAACACGGTCAACTTCCGCGCTATTACCGGAGGTACGTCGATGACACCCTGACCGTAATGCCTGATAGGGTGACCGCTGGCCAGTTTCTAGACACCCTTAACTCTACCCATCCCTCCCTCCAGTTTACCATGGAAGTCGAACGGGAAGGATCCCTTCCCTTTCTAGGAACTGAACTGCTTAACCGTGCACCAAAGATTGAGAGCAAGGTCTACATCAAAAGAACCAACACGGGTCTCCTTCTGCATTTCCAGAGTCATGTTGACATTAAGTACAAGCGCAGCCTAGTTAACACCATGGTGGATCGCGCTTATCGATTATCTTCTAACTGGTCTTTCTTCTCCGAGGAATGTGACCGCCTTAGAGGGGTTTTTCATAACTTGAAATACCCAAAGCCACTGGTTGAAACTACAATCAAGCGGTTCGTTGAGAGAAGGATTTCATCTGCAGAGCCCTGTCCATCACCAGACGTACCATCGGAGATTGTGAGATTAGTGTTACCCTTCAAGGACCAGTCGTCAGCTAATCATGTTAAACAACAACTGAACAGTCTAAGCTCGAAGTTAAGCGTGACTGTCCAACCAGTGTTCGTTAGCCCTAAGCTCGATCAACAGCTTAAGCAACACGAAATTAAGCCCCCTATTGTTAACCAACAATGTATCGTTTATGAATTTAAATGTAACCTGTGTGATGCAGGGTATGTTGGCTATACTCGTGGTCACTTACACGAGCGCGTAGAAGGGCACACAAGGAAATCATCTTCTATCTACAAACACTACCACCTCCAGCACAATAGTGAAATGCCTGAACGCTTGATCGAGCAATTCAACGTCATCGCGAAATGTAACGGCAAATTTGATTGCCTTGTTAATGAAATGTTGTATATTCGCATGCGTAAGCCAACACTGAACGTGCAAACGGATTCCATCCGCGCCAAGGTGTTTGTTTAAGCCGTTCATTCTAATTTATGCTATTCTTGTACCTTTCCCTATTTGCATGTTTTTAAACTAGTCTCTTGATAATGGAGTCACGATGACCCCGAAACGTCGAGTAATAAATCTTTCCTGTTTTTTTCTAAAATAGGAGGGCCCCCATTAATTTCAGTCCCAATTAAAGGAGGATCCTTGTTTTTCCAGATTCCCACCCTTTTAAGCTCACATATCTTGTGACCAATTCCTTATTTCAATGTTTAGTTTGGGTAGGACCATTAGTAAGAAACACCATGCATTCATGAAAGCTTGAGCCAGTGCATTTAATGCAATCTAAATAATAATATTACATGTTACACTATGGTAACTTACAAAGCAGAATTATATCATCACACTTTTCCAAAAAAAGGACGTCAGGTTATTGACTCACCTGCTTCAACTTTTGAGGGCTTAAGGTACAGAGAATAGATATGGTAAACAGTTACAATTAATACAAAGTTGAAAGTTTGAAAGCTAAAAGATATACATTACAATCATCAGATCGACCCTATGCATCCTAGCAAAAAATGAGTCAATTACCACCATAACTTCTCCCAAATGTTCATGCTTACAGAAAATCATTTCTTTTTGTCACTATGTGGTACTGTATTTACAATAGATCTACCAACATGAATGCATTTTTATTAAGTTATCTTATAGCACATGACTGCTCAGGTCATGTGGAAAGTTACTGCATGGGGACTAACATTTCAATTACCTCAGCAAACTGTAATCATCAGAATTGCAAGCCAAAGTGTATTTACCAAGTGCTCAAGTTTCCAAATTAGTCACATAATTCTTACAGTGAGTCATTCCTTTTTGAGGCTACCTTCAGCTTAATGATCCTGTTTACATATGAAAACATGAAATGTTACTCACATATTCAAATAAATATCTGAATCAAAAGTTACAATTTTTCAATAACCTACTTCCTTTAATTGTGCTCCAGGAAGAGTATATGGTATTGAAGAGAAAGGAAGAGAGTTAACATTCTATGTTAAATGAACTTTGTTATGAATGTTAATTGTGATTGCAACAAAAACATCTGTGAAGCTATTAAATAACAATT